CAGCGATAAAACGGGCTACAGGTGGAGAAATAGGCCCTTGAGACCCTTTATTTCCTTCAATTCCCATCCTCCTGAGTGGATCAATACCACCAGGGGCAAGGAAAGGGTGAGGAACCATTGCAGGGAATCACTTTAAGGGAAAAGCTAGAAGGTGGTAGCTGATGTAGCAACCACTGCTGATTTTTGAGGCAGATGGGCTGGGAGGGTTTGCATATCCCAGGAGGGTTTATGTACAGAGAAGAGGATGCCTGTAGGCTGGGAGAGCACTTTTAAAAATAATTTGACTGATTTTTCTCCTTTTTTCTTTCCATCCAGTCAGTCTCCACTCCTGGCATATGCAGTAGGAGCAAAAGGTCTGTCTTGAAGATGTTTTTTTGGATTTTAATCCACCCTACGGGAAAATCCCTCCAAATTTCATCCCATCACCCCTCCAAAATTTGACCACCTCAACCCTTGGTCCAGGAGCACAGCCCAGAGGTCCTGTGGAATCACTGTCCTGAGGACAGCTCTGAGGGTCCCAGGGGGGCTGTATCCCAGGCAGGGGTCAGGGCCCAGTGGATGAGGTGAATCCTGCAGCCTGGCTGTGCATCAGCTGTGTCCCTGGCTCCAGCACGGCTGATTTACCGGGCTGTGCTGACACCCCAGGGCAGGGCACCCATATTTAATGGCTGGGGATATTGCTGCTGGCAGCAGCAGCTCCCAGCCGTGAGCTCAGGGAGGAAAAAGCAATTTGCCATCGTCATCCCTGGTCCTCTGCAAATTCTTCCACTTGCAGAATGGGGTGCAGTGAAGAGACTTGATTTGATGAGGTCTCCAGGTTCTCTTTAAGAGCTGGGAGCGGCTGAGGGCACTCAAGGAGGCCAAGGGGTTGGGTGGGTGAGGTTATGCTTTCTGATTTTAGGGAGGAATTGGTGGGGAGGAAAGAAGGGAGCTGAAGAACTGAGACTGGGGCTTCCTGAGGTCCTCAGCAGCTTGAGTCATCCCAAGTTGTCACTGAGCTCCTAGTGGGGACACAGGAGGGTGGCTGGGACATCTCCTGCGTGCCTGAGCTTGCAGGAACCTCCCTCTTGCCTGCTCCATGCTGATTCTCCTGCCTCCTTCAGAGACTGGGGAAGGAGGCTGAGGAGGAGGAGAGGGAGGAGGAAGCTGAGGTCACCACCATTTCAGGAGGTTGTTAATTTTCCCCTCATTCTCTTTAAGAAGTGGCCATTTACCACAGGCCCTGTAAATCCTTCCCAGAGAGAAAACACCAGGGAGCACGGCATGGGGGGATGAGAGCCCTCAATGGCTTTGAAAGAAATGGCAGAGAGAAAAAACAGCCCACCATGGGTGAAGGGGGAAAATAGACTGAAGGAGAGAGAAGCCGAAAACATGCTGAAGCAGCTGATGACAGCCCAAACAGCAGGAGAAGGCTCCTGCCTGCCAATTAATGAGGCTCTGGTGCTAATTTGCCACCTTGACTGCACTTCTGAGCTTGTCAGAAGAATGGGGAGGAAAAACAAAAAGATGAGGCTAAAAGAGAGCCGGCGAGGTTTCGGTTTGCCCCTTGGCTGTGCAGATGTCACTGGGCTTCAGCAAGGCAGAGGAAGCAAGGGAAGCAATGGCAAACCCCACCAATCCAAAAGCCTGGCATGTGAAGAGAATGATGACGAGTTTCCAAGGCTTGAGTTGGCAGAGCAGCTCTAGGCCATGACTTAAGGATGCCAATTTCCCGGGGATCACATCCCACCATCTGCTGCGTTGCTTGGGAGAGTGAGAGGTGATCCCGTGTGTGCCCAGGAGCATCTCTGCTACCTGCAGTGAAACCCAGTCAGAGGGAAGGAGCCAGAGCAGCCCTGTGCTGGGGCAGAGAGGGCAGCTTGGCATCTCCTGCCTCTCCCAGAAACACTGTCAAACACAGAGCAGGTCTGCTGGCAGCTGCCTGGTGATTCTGTGTGGCTAACGGATCCAGAGGAGCCCTGGGCAAAAAAATGCTCAGTGTGAAGCTTCCTACCAAGCCAAATGTCTGATTCCCTTCTTGCCCATCCTGCAGCCTGAACTCAGAGACCATGGGGATGCATTAAAAGCAACATCTGCACCAGTGTGCTGTTTGCATGCAAAGCAAAAGAGTTTCTGCCAGGGAACTGTGTTACCTGGAACACTCCCAGCCCTCCCTCTTCCTTCCAGGATGTTTTCATTCCTGTGCATCCATGCTCTTCTCCCAGGCTGACACAGCATTAGCTGGGAGCCACGAGGGGTAAACTGAGGCAGGCTGGAGCAAGAATGCAGACTGAGCCTCAGGGCCTCTCTCCATCCTGGCTCTTCATAGAAAAACTCTCCTTTGTGTTTTGGCCTGACACAGAGGGTGCCCTTGGGCCAGGAGGCTGAAGGCTCCCCATCATGGCACACAGGGCTGGAGGCTCAGCCAGCACTGTGGAAAAAGGGTGAAGACAGGAGGAGGAGGGTGCAGGTTCCCTAGGCAGAGCTGTGGGCTGTTTGCTCAGGTGCAGCCCATCACAGCCCAGCACTGTCTCAGGCTGGGAGATGGAGCTGGGACCAGCCCCAGCCTGGGGGCCATGAGCTCTGTCTGCCCTGGGAGAGCTGTGCAGATAACCCCATCCTGCTGCCTGGGCTGGGGCTGAAACATCCTGGCCTTTCCCTGGCTGAGCTGCTGAACAAACGTGTCTGGAGGGAAGCAGAGTGCCTGCAGTCAAGTAAGTGAGGAGCTCAGCTTGTTATTTAAAGGCCATTTTCTGGCTTTCATACTGCAGAGAATCTCATATAAACACCCTAGAAAAGGACAACCCCAACCACACCAGCTGTTAAAACCTAATGGGTTTGATGCTGAATTCCTGGTTCAGGGTGGCACGCTGGCTATTTCCATCCTGGGGCCAGATCCTGCAGGTGCTGTGCAGCAGCAGCTCTCAGCCAGCCCTGCTGCCGTCAGCACTGCCTTGTGCAGGGGAAAGCACTGCAAGGTAATCAAATGCTGACCCCCAGTTATTAACCTCGTCCTTTTAATCACCTCCATTGAGCGCCTTAATTGCTGAGCAGGGATGGGAGGACCTGGCTGCTCCCACCTGAGATTCCCAGGCAGCCTGGCAGTCCCCTCCCAGGGTATGCATGCTGCTGCTGCTGCTCTTCCTTTAACTCCACACATCCCCAGAAAAGGTGGAAGCTGTTCTCTCGCCAAATACAGCAATTTAGCAGCCAAATTCAAGGAACCAACTTTGTTTCTGTGTCACTGAGTTAGAGCGGGGGTGCAGCCACATGGTGTTGGGGGTGGATGACCAAGGCCTCTCTGCCTGTCCCTGTGCTTCCCAAAGTGGTGCTTTTTGCTGAGACAGGGCAGTGCCTGCTGCCAGCCTTGCAATGCCATGCACAGCCTCATTCCTAAAGGGAATTTTCAATTTGGGCAAAACTTGGTGCTTTTGGGCAATAGATTACAGATCTTGCTGGGTGCTGTGGAGAGAGGAGAGTGCAGCCCCAGGGGCAACTGCTGAGGATGCAAAGTGCTGATGGCTCACCCTTCCAGCTGCCTGCCTCGTCCTACTCCCTGCTTTTTATTTTCTGTATCCACTTAAAAATAAATGGTCTTCATCCACCTCTCTCCTCATGCATGGGACTGTTAGGGCATCACCTGGCTCCATCTGGAGCCTACACAAGGCCAGACAAGTCCAGGGGCCATCCCTTGAGGGGTACACTTTGAGGTGCTGCCAGTCATCCCAACAGCTCCTGCATTCATGTTCAGGTGGGTTTAGGATGTGGGACTGGTTCAGAGCACTGAAAAACACGGTAGGAAATGCTCTGTCTAGAGGAGATTGGGATGGAGCCGAGGAATGTTAGCCTGACACATGGCCCACATGATGATGGGGAGAACCCTAGAATGGTTTGGGTTAGAAGACACCTTAAAGCTCATCTTGTTCTAACCTTCCACAGACAGGGATACCTTCCAGTAAACCAAATTCCTCCAAGCCTCATCCAACCTGGCCTTTGGACACTTCTGGAGGTGGGGCAGCCACAGCTTCTCTGGACAACCAAGAAGTGATGAGACAGGAGATGTACAGCAGAAGCCAAAATAATTTCAGTAGCTGGGAATCATCCCAGCAGCTCTGCCTGCCTTTGTGCCTGTGCCCTCCCCATCCCCAGGCTGATGTCTGGGGAGCCCAGAGGATGCCTCTGACTTCTCATTTCCTCCTGGTGTGTTTAATTGCCTGATTTTTTTTCCCTTTAGGACTGGGAGAAAGAGAGGAGGGGTGGGCAAAGGAAGACAGATGTGTGGAAAATAGAAGTCTAGGTGACAGATTGAGGGCTGCTATAACCACAATAGCCAGCTTGATGGATTGATAGATTAGACAGGGAATATAAATAGCAAGTATGGTTTATCTATCCCTGTTTTATTTTCCCCTTGTCTGTCTCTTTATCTCTCCTGGTGTTATTTTCCTCCCTCTTATCTCTTTATCTGCCCAGCCTGAGGATGGAGGAGAGGTGGGTGACAGAAGCAGGATGGATGAGCTCGGATTTCCACCGCCTTTGCAGCATCCAAGCAGACAAGTTTTGCCAGCTGTGGAGGATTAGGAAGCAGCCTCAGATCTGCACATTGATACACTTTTCCCACCCCTCTCCTTTCCCCTGCACCATCCCCTCTGTCCGTGTGCCCTCCCTTAGGGATACTGTGGTTGGAGGGTCAGCTCCTTCCTCTCTCTGGCTCATCCTTGGCCAAGGAATGAGGGCAGCCACTGGAGCAGTGAGCTCTGCTTGTCTGGGTACCCGGTGTTCCCATCTGACAGCCGGGCAGCGCTGCTGCTTGATATTCTGGTCAGGCACTGAGTACAGCAGCGGCAGCAGCACCGGGAAGAAGGGAGGGAGGGGAGCCACCCAGCACGGGGAAAGCCAGGGCTAGCGATGACAGTAACTGTTCTGTTCTTTTCTTTCTTTTTTTTTTTTTTTTTTTTTTTTTTTTTTTTAATCTCAGTTGGTTTTGGTTGCTCTTTTGCTCGAAAAAGGCATTTTTTAAAAAATATATTAAACAGATACATTTTACTAAGATGTCTCTTGGCTCGAGCCACTGACAAGAAATGACACTCCCCAAATGAATAGGCTTAAAAAAACCTGTCCCAAACAAACCAAATAAATAAATACATAAATAAAACATTTTCTTTTTTTTTTTTCCTTTTGCATTATGTTTTTTTTGTTGTTGTTGTGGTATTTTGTTTTGTAGGGAATCGTGGCCCAGAGGTCTCCGCCGGTGTCTGTGATGGCAGCGTCCCCGGCGCAGGTGCCAGGTCCTTCCCAGGCAAAGGGTGAGACGGTGCCTCAGCACTGCAGCAGACACGAGGTGCTCGTGGAGAGGCCCCAGTGGAGAGCTGCTGGGTCTCCAGGACTGGCTCTGTGGACCCCCAGCAGCACCGTATGTGAGTGTATGGCTGCAGGATGGATCACGGGGGATGCAAAGGTGCCAGTAGAAACCTCTTAAAAAGACTACAAAAGTAGAGTGGCGAGGAGGACACCACTGGGGGATCCTTACGGTGGGTTAAGCACCTACTCTGGTGGGACCAGCAGCTGCCTCTGGCCTAGCCACACCCCCTGAGCCATCACCACACCTCCCCAGCAACCCCCATGGTGGCCACAGTGACATTGTCCCCGCACTGGGAGCCACTCTGCACTGCATGAGCCATCCCTCCTCCTTAGTCCCACTGGCATCCTCCATCCGCTTGAGCCCTGTGTCTCTTTGGCCAGTTGCTGGGTGTACCATGGAAGCACGCAGTTGGCACTAAGGTAAGGCCTAGATTTAAATTTTCAGGGTGGTTGTTTCTCTCTCCTCCTCAGGAAGTCTTTCCTCCCAGCCCCCTGGCGCCGAGGTCCGAGCGCTCCCGGCTGTTAGCTGCACAGCTTGCCCGTCTCCTGCTCCAGAGCGTTGGGCAGCTTGGCATTGAAGGCTCTCAAGGAGGACTGGATCCTCGCCACCTCGTTGTTGGCCAGCTTGAGCCGGTGCCGGAGCAAGCAAGTGAAGAGGTCGAGGCGGATTTTGCCAGGGGGTGAGAGCCTGTTCACTCGGTCCCTGATCTCCAGCAGCTGGAGCATGGCTGAGTCCTGGGAGCCCTGGGTGTAGGGGTAGTCCAGCTGGAGGATCAGGTCACGGATAGCGTCTGGCTCAAAGGGCAGGCTGTAGCCAAAGACTTGCAAGCTGTTGATTTTCATGTACCCCAGGTTCTTGGAGGGATCTGACATCTCCAAGGGTTCATAGTAGATTGTCTCATTGGAGCTGTCATCCAGAGACTTGATGCGGCTCCGCAAGTAGACGTGGACTGTTTCGAAGAAGGTCTTCCACTTGTTGCCCAAGGTGATCGTCCAGTTTTGGCACTGGGCAGAGGCATCCACGGTAGTCCTTTCCCAGTCTGGGAAGCTGCCCTCATTGACAGGCATGAACCAGCTCTCCGAGTGGCTTCCCCCAAAGGGGTTGACATAGATGGCCATGACGGGCTCCAGGGTGCTGTTCTTGGTGAGGCAGATCTGCAGAGAGAGGGCCAACATGACGTGAACCAGCCCGGGCTTGTACTTGTTGCTCTTCAGGGTGAGGAGCATGCGCTTCCTCCAGGAGGGGTCGAACCAGCTGCCCAGGCGCATGTCGTTGCTGATGAAGATGGAGTGCACCTCAATGCGGCTGTCCCGTTTCTGCAGGAGGTACTTGAGCTCCAGGTCCTGCAGGTCGGTCTCCAGCCCCAGGTAGTGCTCCAGTGAGTCGGCCACCTCAGGGCGGCAGAAGCCCTGGGTGAGCACGAAGCCGTGGTTGCAGGTCCCGCAGCGGGTGCTGTTGTCCTGGTCACAGCTGGCACAGGCTGGCCCCTCGCCCAAGGCACACGGAATGGACCCCTGGCAGGAGGGCTGCTCGGAGGGACAGCTACAGCTGTGGCTTTCTTCCAGGAAGGTCCCAGGCACGGTGGTCTCACTGCAGTACAGGAGCGACTGTGCACGGCTCCACCAGTAAGGGAGGGACCTGGTGCAGAGGAAACACAGGAGAGAGACTTAGATGGCGTCTTTTGGGATGCGACTGACTTTCCCTAGGGATGGAAGAGCTGCCCACCTTGTGTTTGTTTTCTGCTCCGCTGAAAACAGCATGAACCAAGCCCCATTTTTCACCTTCAGGTTTGGACCTGACCTCTCAGGGCTGGTACAGCCACTCCTGCTGCCTGCTCACCCCCAGATGTCCCTCCTAGGCAGGAGCTTCTCCACTTGCAGCCACAGGGAGGTAGCCTCTGGCTCTGAGCCACCCTTGGGGCATGGGGCAGTGTCCCCAGAAAGGGATGCCATGGCACCCTACCTCTCCTTCGGCAGCTTGAAGCGAGGTTGGCGGTGGCAGCGTTTGCTGAGGTTGAAGAGCCGCCGGATGAGCCGGTAGGTTTTCCTGGACAGCAGCTTCAGGCTGGTGCCCAGCTGTTGGTAGCGATGCTGGACATCCAGATCCATGGTCCAGAAGTGGGAGATGGCTGTCCTGTTCAGGAAACGGTCTGTGGGGAGTCTTTTCACCAGGGCCTGAAACTCCTCTGTGGGGAGAAGGAGACGGCATCAGCAGACCCTGGAGAACCAGTGATGAAGGTGGAGCTGAGAGCAACTTCCCCCCACCTGAGCTCTGAGGTCTTCATGGTGAAGAAGACCACCCTGGAGACCCAGCACCCAGCCTGGGCTGCTCACAAGGGGAAGGAGATGCTCGGTGGGGTCTCCCCAGCCTCACCTGACTCCTCGAACTGGCTGTGGTGGCTCTCCCAGGCTCGCCCAAGTTGGGCCAGGCTGCTCTCCAGCGCCTGGATGTCGGCCTCGGGGCAGTTGCAGCGGGGGAAGGCGGGCTGGCACTGGCAGCGGCAGTCGCTCCGGCGGCACACCAGCTCCCCGCTGGAGCCGCAGGCGATGTAGCTGAGGGCGGCCGCCACGAACCTCTCCCGCAGGTAGGAGGGGAGCACCGTCTGCAGCCCTGCGAGAGGGAGCAGCCCCGAGAGCATCAGGGCACGCACGGAGCCCCTCAAACATCGCCTGGGTGAGGGGGGGCACGAGCCTCCCTCCTTCCTCCCCCCTCCCCGGGCTCCCACCCTC